TGCCTTAAGTGCAGAAGTACTCGTTAGCGGCAGCGAGCCTTCGGACGTGCTCGCCAATGTAAAATGAGTCACCACAACTTCGTTGTGCCCCCCGATTACAAACCCCTTTCCAACACTTCGACATAATATTCGGACAAACTGAACCCCGGGAGTTTTGACAACTGGAATATATCTCTCAGTTCACCTCGGCCAGCCGCCACATTGACGGGGCACGCAGTGAAGTGGCTGACCCTCTATTTCTCATCTGCAACTTTTTTCCCGCAATTGACCTCACTGAGGTGTCTGCCGAACAACACGGTGTTATTTCAGCCTGTGACAAGGATGTTTCCGGACTCCAACTCCAGGAACTGTCACTGACTACTGGCAACGGCACCAGTCTCTGTGACGTATCCACCGCCTCCCACCGTTGACTTGTACCACCATCTTGTCGCCGCACTATTTTATCCTCCATGCACACTCTATCTCGCCCTGGATATCGACCTACCGACAAGTTGTTCTCTGACTGTTTCGTCTGGCTTAGGATGCACAAGTACCACAAAACTTGCCTCAGCTGTCAACGGAGCTAGGTCCATCGGCACCAAAAGGCACCCATTGGCACTTTTCCTGGCTCTGATGCAAGGTTAAAGGTACCTTTACCACATTATATACTCCCCACCCCTGAGTTAAGTGTCACGGCAATGTCGTGAAGACTGAAGGTGGGAGAGGGCGCAGGTGGCTGGCGCGGCCTGGGTCGTCCCTAATTTTAACTCTGATCTCATGCAAAAAGGGAGCCTTAGAGACCATATTTAAAAGAAACCGTTGTAGCCTGACTCTCAGTCCGCCAGTCACACATTGGACTGACCGCGCTGTCCGAGTTTTCCGTCAGTTGGTAACCTTCCAGGTCACGGCTTTTTGCGTACCGTGAAGGTTTCAAGCGCATAAACTTGGCTTTAGTTGGGGAATATAAGCTTAGCCGTCAAATTCACCCTCAACCCCACCACCAACATCAAGCTACCGTCTAAGCTGTCGGTTGTCTGATGTGGGGTGGGCGCAGTGGCTGACAGGACCAAAAAATCCGTCTGCGCGCGCCACAGAACGAAATCACCCACTTCAAGCAAACACCGGAATCAACACAACCAGAGAACAAGAAGGAGCCATGACAGTCTGACTCCTAGTTCACTCATCAGTCACTAAACACACAGCAGATACTGGGCTGACGATGTGCAAAGTAAGTGCGTCAGTTAACAGCCTTCTCACTGGCCTATGTTGTCACATGCAATTAAAAGACTGCCTTGAGTCAGCTCTAAGGCTGAAGTCTGATCTTCTGGGGGGTTACGACGCTTCCTCTGTCAACGGATATTGATCTGCCTACACTGCTACGCAGTACGGCGTGACGTGGTAATCCTTCAACACCGCATGACTCGCAGTCCACAGGTCAGCCAATCAACACAGAACACACACAGGACTGATGGGTCTGGTAAAGCTTCAGATTGTAGTGCTAAACGGAAGCTGGAGGTAATCGTTAACATGCAGGTTATGCAAATGGAACCGAGAACATAATTTACCTTTCGATAGATGTGCTTTCGGTGGTTCTAAACACTAAGGTAAGATGAAGATAATCGTTAAGATGCAGGCTACCGTCGTTGTCGAGAATAGAACTTACCTTTTGGTCAGGTATGTCATGCTTTATCGACTAGGTGGTTAGCAGCTTACCGAAACAGTGACAGAAAAGCCTATTGGAAATAGTTTAACGGAGTAGTATTTTCACATTGCCGCATGCAGGAGGCCATTGGGGTCAGACACATTATTGAACAGTAGTTTCTAGTACTTCTAGATCTGTCTTATTAGATTGCTCGCGTTCATTTTCTGGTAATATATTTAGTAGAGTGTCCTTTGTGTGGATGCACGGCTGCAACTTCTTTCGGTATGAACGCTTTAGATTAGGCTATTACTTCCCAGCTCTTTTTGCATGCACTTGATTTTCACTTTGATGGATAATTGGGCAACAACTTAGAATCCGCCAAACTCTTTAATTTTTACTACAAATATAAAGACATGCCTTTGAATAGAATATATTGCTCGCGTAAGATTTTATAACTTATCAACATAGAATATCCTACCAAAGCAGGTTGCATAAGCTGCAGCTCCATGTACATAAAAGCTTTCCGACCATAGCACGCACACCGTGCCGGGAATCACGTGATCACCGATGTTGGGCGATTGGCTTTCGCGTGTGACGAATGCTTAGGCGCGCCTAGGGTATGCTGACTTTTCCCCAGTACTTTTCCCACCTGCATGTCTGACTCCCCTACATCAGACAAAATCGTACCTTGCTTATCAGACGTGCTGAAAATGCGATTCCCTGGGAAGGATTTATTTTCGTTCGTACGTTTTGGACGGGAATTTGCCTGTTTCGCCACAGAACCTGGGATGTGTGCAAAGCTCTCCTTCTATAGGACTGACTGGCGGACTGAGATTTAGGCTGAAATGGATCCCACTCTGCGAGCCACCTTCCTACGTTACTGTGATAGTTGAAAGTGCTAGTGGCTGCGCCCACTTCCATGCCTCACCTTCTCGGCTCTGTCTTTATATCGGGACCAGGTTGCGGGTGGAGTGGGGAGAGAGTTAGGTAGTTGCGGTGCATGCGCACTGCAGTACACCATCCTGTTGTGGAATACACGTTAAACTTCGGCAAAATCAACTGTAGACTTGTCATCATGAAGAACATTTTGCCTGTTACGTGGATAGCCACTGCCGACGGTGGTCTGTGTCCCACTTAAGTCATCCTTCCTAATCGGAAACATATTAAAGAAGTTTGGGGGATATTACATTAGATCGATCACCGATCCTACGTGTAGATTATTTTCAATTAACTCTACCAGGCGACTGAAAAATCCACTACGGTGCAATTTTTAAATTAATTTTGTAGGATGTGTCTGCTAATCGGGTTCACAACCCGAAGAGCGTAAATTTTCAGAAGATAATGGCGAACATAAGTTTGGTTTCGATTACTACTCGTCAGGCCTTTACATTTACATGGTAATTAACTAAATAAACTAGGTGAGTTGGTAGAATAAATTGTTTGGTTGTCAGGAGAGGTGGGGGGATGGGGGGGGTTTGGTTCAATTATCTGATCAGCGTTAGAGGTGACTGGTAGCCGAGAAAGGTGATTAGCTGTGGGCTGTTGGATTAGCAACTTTCGGCCATGGTAACTGCAGTGCCGTGAAGAAGTTATTTTGGGCGCACATCCCGATGGCGGCCGCTTATGCCGTAGCTGGCAGACGCTGTCAAAGGTATTTTTATCAGCCTCAGGGCATTCTTTGAGGGCACTCGAAAGGCCTCCTAGTATCCACGCGATTGTTTGAGTCTACCAAGTACTCTAAAATGGGGGATGTGTATACCCGTTATTTGGCCGTTCCCTTACCTAACGTTTATTTCACTCGACCTCATCGCGAAATAAATCGGTGACCTTAGTGGGATCTAGACCCACGACAGCAAGGGGAAAAGCCTCAGTATAACCAATGCTCTCTACTCACTTGAACTACAAGCTCCCACTAGGAGCTGTGAATCTAATCCTACTTCCGACAATTTACCAGCTCAGCCTTCTGTAACGTATAGAATCTCCCCGTCGTGATACAGTTAACTCGCTGCTTAAGCAGACTTTCCTAAGAAATCAATATAGAGTCCGCCAGTTGGCTATCAGGCACTATAACGTAATAGGAATTTTGACAAATGGGAATAATTTCTTTTTTCTCAGTCGTGAAAACTCTGGGTCCACGGTGGGATTTGCATTAATGACAGCGAGGAGAAGGCGTCAGTACTGGTGAGTAACCTGATGGAATTTTGAGTAAATTCAGGTGGAGCCCCGTGCCACGGGTGATTAGAACGGTGGCCGTACTCCAGCCCTGCCCTTGCTGCCGCGGGTTCAAATGGCGCCGTTTTTGCGCAAGCTAGTCGAGTGAATAAACCCAAGGTATTGCACCTTGAAAATAAAGTTTGACAAACGATTGTCAGGCCTTTGGGTTGACATGGGGAAAACAAACTAGTCAATTAAGTACAGGAGTTATATGGAGGGAGCCGGTGGTAAGTCACTTACATGAAGTAATCGGCTTGTTGACGAAATTAAGGTTCGGAGCGTGGAGGACGGAGGGAAAATGATCACGCTAGGATGTGTCCGTGCGTCAGACACGCAGACAGCGTGTGATTATTCTCCTTGAGCCGAAGCCACCCTGGAGAACATTCACAGGCACTCCGCATGTCTGACGCACGGACACACCCTAGCGTGATCATTTCCCCTCCCCCCGCTCCTACGCTCTAAAGCCCGATCACAACAACGGAATGTTCGCATAGCTATTACATTTTGCTCAAAAAGTACTTTGAGAGTACTGATTATCGTATAGGATGGTAAGCACGGAAGGCAGTGTGTAGGAATTCGTTGCCTAGAGCAACTGCGCTGACTTTCGCTCGCTGCGCGCTATTGCCCTTTCGCACGCTTGATGTCAACTCACCAGGTTTACACTTGTAACTAATCGATAATCCTGCCTCATTTGATTGGCGACAGCCGATTGATTATTCATTTCACAGCCTCAAATTGTCACAACCCGACTTTTCCACCTGCACGGCTGGCTATCGTACGCGGCCCCACTCTACAGCTTTTTGAACAGTAAAGTTGTTCGAGTCAATCAGTCTTCCCAGACTTGTTATTTGGGGATACTTCTGGTGTTGAGACAGCAACTAGCTCTCAATAGGTGTGTCTGGGCGTCAAACACATCGAGGAGTACGTGCGCCTGTTCTCCCTTAGCCGACTCCAGGTGGCAGTCGCACGCCTCCCCCAGAGAACAGTCACAAGCACTCCGCGTGTTTGGCGTACAGACCTCAACCTTAGCCTACAACGAGCACGTCCCCTACCTCCCCGTACTCTAAACCCCAATCTTAAGATGGGACTTTTCACAGAAATACTAAATGTTGCTCAAAACATAATTTGAGAGTACTTGTCATGGTAAAAGATCGTAAGGACTCATTTTATAGGCGGGCGACCTCGCCAGGTCAAACCTGGAAATCCTATCGCAGGGGTTTAAGTAATTTAAACCCTGACAACTGCGATTTTCAGGCCCGGTTCTTTATGGGAAGAGAAGTCATGGGAGGCCAGAGTGTTAGGGCCAGTTTATTCTGTACAGAAGAAAGGGAAGAAGAGGTAGGATGAATATGACTCCCAGAAGAGCGAGCATCGGCAGCGGTGAGCCATTGCGCGAGGTCGTATCGGTTAAGTGAGTCACCACAGTCTAGCTTGTTGAGCCCAGGCACTGAATTACCCGTGCAGGCTCGTGTGAGTGCGCGAATGCAAATTGACACAAGCAAAAGTGACCCCTGTTCTTGCTGCAAAGCGGTTCCGTCAGTCTTTTAGACAGAATGACCGCACCGATATGTTATC